CACACCTTGAATATGCTGTGCAATTTTGGGCACTTGTTCTAAAGAAAGTTATCATGGCACTAAAAAAATTGTAGAGATGAGCTACAAAATTGATAAAGGGAATGGAGCATTTTAGTTACGAAGAAAGGTTAAAAAATTTAAATCTGTTTAGTTTGGAAAAACGGTGCCTGAGAGGGGATATGATAACATTATACAAATATATTCAGGGCCAGTACAAACCCTTATCTGAAAATTTATTCATAAACAGGGCTATACATAGGACACAAGGTCACACATTTAGGCTGGAAGAAAGGAGATTTCATCTAAGGCAAAAAAAAGGTTTTTTACAGTAAGAGCAATACAAATATGGAATTCTCTGTCTGAAGAGGTGGTTTTGTCAGAGTCTATACAGATGTTTAAACTGCAATTAGATAACCACTTGCAAAAACATAACACACAGGGATATAATTTCTAATTAGTGGGGTTATAGCTGCTTGATCCAAGGAGACTTCTGACTGCTATTTTGGGATCAAGAAGGAATTTTTTCCTAGTTTCTTGCAAAATTGGAAGCGCTTCAGACTAGGTTTTTTGCCTTCTTTTGGATCAACAACAAAAACGTATGTGAGGAAGGCTGAACTTGATGGACACAAGTCTCTTTTCAGCTATGTAACTATGTAACTTTTAGACTCCAACAATTACAAGTGAAACAAATTAGGAAAGAGCTGTAATTGAAGTTTCAGTAGTGTAAATAAGAAGTGATTGAATCCCAGAGGGCAGACATTAGTATTCCATGTATGATCCAATTCTTAATTCTATTAACTGAAGAACTTAGCTTGATTCCTTTGGATGATGAAAATGGAAGTCATTTCCAGTATGTTACTGAGGATTGAGGATCCCTGCAGTATACTGAGGATTAGAGGAATTTGTAGTCATCTGTTCTGAGTCTGGAAGTGGAGAAGTCAGCGTAGTCAAGATCAGGTAGAAAAGGTTCAGTACACGGGTGATCAATAGAGGGAGCTCCGTCGGCAATTGGCAACAAAGTATCAAATTGGCAAACTGATTGAGCAATGTGAATGCAGCCAGGGAAACCTTTTGACAGGGAAGCGCATAACTTCAGACCCATGTTCGTACCCGGAATTCATATGGGTAATGCCGATCTGAGTGAAAATAATATGGGGGAATCTTGACAGAGAGTCTCCTGTATATTTACCCAATGAGTAGATTTTCTAAGCACTTTAAAGGAGTTTATTCAGGTCTGGGAAGAGAACGTTTTGACCATGTCTTTTTTACATTCTGTAATAGATTTAGGTTTCGTACCTTGATTAAGAGAGTATATGTATTTCCTAATCTGAGAAGATATCTTTCAATGTTCACCAAATAAAAACCTATCTAGGGGTGATTCATTTATTATTAAAACTTTATGTAGGAAGTCTAATATTCTCATGTATGTATATCGTTCTTTATTAGCAAGACCTGATATTGATTGTAAGTACGAGAACTTACTAATTTCACCAGCGTAGTAAATATCCTTTATTCTTACTAATCCTGCATCTATCTATCCAGGTAAAATCAGATCTTGGGTTAATAGTTTCAGGGCCATCAAAGAGAGTTGGTTACAAGAGAAGAAAAGCTTCTTTATAGGATCTATATAGAATGGAAAATTTGGTTAATTACTATAGGTTGTCTATATTTAGATTTCTGTACATGTTTTTATCTATCCAGAAGAGATGGAAAGGATCACATTTACCACACACACCTTTCTTTCGTATATATACCAAGGTGTTATGCTAGAGTTTCTGTTTGCCCATTCGAGAAAATGGGAAAACATAAGTGTCGTGTGTATATATATATATATATATATATAAAAAACAATAAAAGGCTGCGCACATTAAATAAAGTCCAATAAAAGGAGAGACAGTCCAACTGGTATATTCTTATAAGTGTCTTTTGTTTGTAGGGTCTTCTAGTTTTGTAGTGGTTTCACTTGTTATGAAAAATAAAAAGAGGGAAAAAGGACATCCAATGGTGTAGTATGTAAAATTCGGGTATAGACGTAAAAAAAAATAATAATAATAGTATAAAACTCACATTTACCAGAGCTAATGTCCAGCTCCGGGGTAAAGCGCGTTCAGCGGTTTAATCCCCGCTTATGGGATATAAGGTAGGTTCCTCTCCGTGAATGATGTCCAATTCTCGGGATAAAACAAACAGCCAATAGTGCTCACTGTATGACAGATATTAATAAAATGATAAAAGAAATGTACTTACAAAGTAAGAGCAGACCCACTGCTCTTTGATGATAGCTTGGGTGGATTGATCCCCACCTATGGATTTCTTTGGGTACAGGAAACTTCCAGGAATTTTTAGGTTTCTTTTTAAAACCAGTAAAAATAATTAAAATAACAATAAAAAGGCCAGGGTAAAAAGGAGGATATGTGTCTATAAAAAAGATAATTGGCACAACCAAATGTCCAAAAATACTTTAATATATATAAAAACACAATATTCAAATATCCATAACGTGTTTCGTCACAAAGGGACTTTTTCAAATGGAATAACATGATTTACCTGGCACATAGAAGTTATATAAGAGCATAATTAATTGAATTTTGGCGCCAAAACTTGATTCATCCAATCAGAATTGAAAACATATTTATGACTTTAAAATACAAATTGGCTCATTCTGCACATAATTTATAGTAATACAACTTAATTAAAATATATTTAGATTTAAAACGAGGGCGGGAAATAGGATTTTAAGCAGATTGAAAAAAGTCACATGACCGGCGGCACTTCCGCATTTCGGAAGTTCCGCCGCAAAGACACATGGGAAATGTAGTTGCGAGCGGCGGAAATTGCAAAAATCGGTTAAACATAATTATTAAGGGTTCACAGATCAATATGATGTGGCAGAAAAGGTTAAAACATAAAAACGAAGGGACTAGCTGTCTAAAATTAAGCAATAAAAGTGGTCACGTGATTTTCGGCAATAATGGCCGAAATGCCTTATGGGGAATGGAGTTACAATTGCAGCATGTGGATTGATAATAAGAAACACCAAATGGGAGTAATAAAATGAAAATAATATTCTAAATATTAATATTCTAAATTAAAACAAAGCCACATTATGTGAGATAAAAAAGGGAACAATGCAAATGAGAGGAGCAGATTAAGATAAAAGAAAATGGTTAAGAATAAATTATATTTAAAACCATAATTTAAAGGTACAGACATTAAATCATATAAAAGTTCATAAAAAATTGTGTAAATCAAAATCTGCATTCAGGCCATGGGGTATAAGAGTCTGAAGTTTATACACCCATTCCATCTCTATTTTTCCAAGTAACTTTTTTATATCACCTCCTCGCCAAGAGGTAGAACATTTTTTAATACCAATACAGCCTTTTATTGTTTTTTGTTTTATCTTGTTTTATAAGGGTCTGAGGGATTCCCTTTTTAAGGTTGCTGCCTGTAGTTATTTAGCGCTGTCTCACTTCTCTTATTTACTATTATCTCTTCGAATTCCCTTTTGGGATAGCTGCTTTTTAACTCTTACAATATGTCTATTTTTGAATTCAGGAATAAATATACAATCGATGTCAATAATGTATTCAATACAGAAACAATTAACTCTGTACAAATAACTCCCCACTATTCTAATCAACAAGATTTATTCATGAAATTAGAAAGAGCCTTAACCACAGAAATTAAGCTTAAATGGGAAATTGCCACTTTTAAAAAATACATAGACGAACAAATTACTCCCCGTGGATTAAGACTCCTAAAATTGCCAACCTCTGATCAAGATGATCTCGAGTTCATGGAAGAGTGGAATAATAAGCTGGAATTATGTACTTTTGGCCTAATGGAAACTTTAATAATAAAAAAAAGTAAAAAATTGTCTATTCTAGATATTGAAATAAATGATCTTAGAGAGAAACTTTTACCATTTACCGAAACTAAGGCTTATAAACAAAATTCTGTACTAATCCAGAACAAAATTGAAAAAGTTGAAGTAGATCAGAAACATCTGAAAATTAAAAAATACATTAGAGATAAGACTGACTATTCTAGCAAACAAGTAAGAACTTACCATCTTAAAAAGAAATACACTTCAGAAAACTACCCTTCTAGACCTAATCATCATAACTATACGTACAACAACTCTCACCCTCACAACAATGTATCATACCAGCCACCTTCCAAATATCGCAATTATGTTACACGAGCACCCCATCATCAATTCCCATCCACAACAAGACCCCAATACACGTCTTCCCACACAAATCACGTCCCTTCTAAATCACCTTACCAAAATAAATAAATACATACCAACTACCCTCGTACAAACAACGGAAATTTCCCCACGACAACTATAATTCTATACCCCAATCACCTAGATATCAAAATTCCTCTGGTTTTAATTTTAATTTTTCACCAAAGCCACAAAGATCTAGGTATACTAACGATCACAACGAATATGCTAATTACTCAAAATCACCTACTATTCCAAATCATACCAACAGATACCAATTATTATCAGTCGACTCTGACTTTGATAATGAGGACCATTTTTTAGAGATACGCACTCACCAACCCGCACTAGCTCAGACACCATACCCATCACGCTCCCAAAAAAGAACTTTAAACCAAGAGGGAGACGAAGTGGAAGAAGGGAACAAAAGAGAAAGATTGGAAAGACAATAATACCTTCTACTAATTCCTGCAATGGCATTTTTAACCTCTCTCAAAAAGTTTTATCAGTTGCACAATTATCTGTTTTAAGTAAGGGTCTTAAATTTGCCCCCACTTCCTCTTTTAATTCATTTCAAGCTTTTCTTGATGTAAATAAATTTGTTAGAAAGGCTACATTGAAAAGATTTTTTATAAGTAAAAACGATGAAGAATCTACCCCTTCTATTTCACCTCTTCCCTCAGAGACTAAAAATAGTCCTTTTTTGAATACACATCTGAGAGAAAAATCTAAATTTTACCCATCCCATTTTAAATCAGCTCCTTTGATTTTATTTGAAAAACTTGTTCTTAAAGATTTAGAAAAAATCAAATACAAAAAATATGACTCTAATAACCTCACGAATAGTGAGAGACAGGCAATCAAAGAACTCCAAAAAGATAGTGATATTGTCATAAAACCAGCTGATAAGGGGGGAGGAGTAGTCATTCAATCTAGTGAAATGTATGTAAATGAAGCTCATAGACAATTAAAAGACGGTAATGTATATGAACAACTTTTAACTGATCCGATTAAAAATATCCAAACTATTTTATCTAATTTTTTAAATAAGGGTCTAGATCTAAAAATTTTAAATAAACATGAATATAACTTTTTAAACAAGAAACATCCAATTACCCCTGTTATCTATTTTCTTCCTAAAATTCATAAAAATGAACAACATCCCCCAGGAAGACCCATTGTTTCAGGGATAGACTCACTTTTAAGTAACCTCTCTCAGTATATAGATACCCTTCTCCAACCCTCAGTCAAACTTATGAAATCCTATTTAAAAGACTCCATGTCACTTTTAAAATTTTTAAATGATTTTATCTGGAATGATAATTTTATATTAGTCACATGTGATGTACAGTCTCTCTATACCATTATCCCCCATGATATTGGTTGTCAAGCCATAAAAGAAATTTTAACTCAGGAAGCTAGGATTCCCGACATTCAAATTGATTTTATAATAGAAGGTATCAATATTATTTTAAACAATAATTATTTTTGGTTTTTAGACTCTTTTTATTTACAAAAAAGAGGTACTGCTATGGGGACTAGGTTTGCCCCTAGTTACGCTAATTTGTTTATGGCTGATTGGGAAAATGAAGCCATATGGGGAAATCATACCTGGCGGGCAAACCTAGTCTCCTATTTCAGATATATAGATGATCTCTTTTTTATTTGGGATGGACCTGAAGAACATCTTATTGATTTTATTAATTTTTTAAATACTAACAATAGGGGCATTATCCTCACATACGAATTTAGTAAACAATCCATCAACTTTTTAGATTTAAATATTTTTATTAATAAGGGACAACTCCAAACAAAAACTTTCTTCAAAAAAGTGTGTGTAAACACGGCTATAGACCGATCTAGTTGTCACTATAAGCCGTGGCTAGAAAGTGCCCCAAAAAGTCAGTTTCTACGGCTTCGCAGAAACTGTTCAGAACTCACAGATTTTAACGAACAAGCAGAGTTTTTAAAAAATAAATTTATTGAAAAAAATTATTCAGAACCAGATCTGAATAATACAATCAATACAGTCAAACAAAAAGAAAGAAAAGATCTTCTGACATATAAAAATAAAGAAAACAACGATACTATATCACTTCCAGTTATTTTTAATTTTAACAATAAAAGCAATGATGTCAAAAAAATAATAAGAAAGCATTGGCACATACTTAAACATGATGAGATACTTAATCCCATCATACCTACTCATCCAAACATTGTTTTTAGAGGAGCACCTAATTTTAAATCTATCCTAACTACAAATTTTACAAAAAAATCTCCTTTAAAAAACGTATCATTTTTTTCCTCAAACAAAGGTTTTTTTTAGATGCAAACAATGCATTGTATGTAAAACTGTGGATCATGCTATTTCATCAAAAACTACAAAATTTATGTCAAATCAAACTAAAAAAGTGTATGATATTTATGATTTTATAAGCTGCCATACGAAAAATGTTATCTATCTGCTCGAGTGCCCGTGTGGCCTCCAATATGTGGGGATGACCACAAGGTGCCTAAAGATAAGACTGAGCGAACACTGCAGAAACATTAGAAACGGATACTTAAACCATACAGTATCCAAACATTTTATTATGCACAATAAAGATCCCCGTCTATTAAAATGTATTGGTATTAAAAAATGTTCTACCTCTTGGCGAGGAGGTGATATAAAAAAGTTACTTGGAAAAATAGAGATGGAATGGGTGTATAAACTTCAGACTCTTATACCCCATGGCCTGAATGCAGATTTTGATTTACACAATTTTTTATGAACTTTTATATGATTTAATGTCTGTACCTTTAAATTATGGTTTTAAATATAATTTATTCTTAACCATTTTCTTTTATCTTAATCTGCTCCTCTCATTTGCATTGTTCCCTTTTTTATCTCACATAATGTGGCTTTGTTTTAATTTAGAATATTAATATTTAGAATATTATTTTCATTTTATTACTCCCATTTGGTGTTTCTTATTATCAATCCACATGCTGCAATTGTAACTCCATTCCCCATAAGGCATTTCGGCCATTATTGCCGAAAATCACGTGACCTCTTTTATTGCTTAATTTTAGACAGCTAGTCCCTTCGTTTTTATGTTTTAACCTTTTCTGCCACATCATATTGATCTGTGAACCCTTAATAATTATGTTTAACCGATTTTTGCAATTTCCGCCGCTCGCAACTACATTTCCCATGTGTCTTTGCGGCGGAACTTCCGAAATGCGGAAGTGCCGCCGGTCATGTGACTTTTTTCAATCTGCTTAAAATCCTATTTCCCGCCCTCGTTTTAAATCTAAATATATTTTAATTAAGTTGTATTACTATAAATTATGTGCAGAATGAGCCAATTTGTATTTTAAAGTCATAAATATGTTTTCAATTCTGATTGGATGAATCAAGTTTTGGCGCCAAAATTCAATTAATTATGCTCTTATATAACTTCTATGTGCCAGGTAAATCATGTTATTCCATTTGAAAAAGTCCCTTTGTGACGAAACACGTTATGGATATTTGAATATTGTGTTTTTATATATATTAAAGTATTTTTGGACATTTGGTTGTGCCAATTATCTTTTTTATAGACACATATCCTCCTTTTTACCCTGGCCTTTTTATTGTTATTTTAATTATTTTTACTGGTTTTAAAAAGAAACCTAAAAATTCCTGGAAGTTTCCTGTACCCAAAGAAATCCATAGGTGGGGATCAATCCACCCAAGCTATCATCAAAGAGCAGTGGGTCTGCTCTTACTTTGTAAGTACATTTCTTTTATCATTTTATTAATATCTGTCATACAGTGAGCACTATTGGCTGTTTGTTTTATCCCGAGAATTGGACATCATTCACGGAGAGGAACCTGCCTTATATCCCATAAGCGGGGATTAAACCGCTGAACGCGCTTTACCCCGGAGCTGGACATTAGCTCTGGTAAATGTGAGTTTTATACTATTATTATTTTTTTTACGTCTATACCCGAATTTTACATACTACACCATTGGATGTCCTTTTTCCCTCTTTTTATTTTTCATAACAAGTGAAACCACTACAAAACTAGAAGACCCTACAAACAAAAGACACTTATAAGAATATACCAGTTGGACTGTCTCTCCTTTTATTGGACTTTATTTAATGTGCGCAGCCTTTTATTGTTTTTTGTTTTATCTTGTTTTATAAGGGTCTGAGGGATTCCCTTTTTAAGGTTGCTGCCTGTAGTTATTTAGCGCTGTCTCACTTCTCTTATTTACTTATATATATATATATATATATATATATATATAAAAATGTAAAAAAAATAAGCAAATTGGGAAAAGATAATCCCCCTATGTTCTCATTATTTTAAGCATTATTCTGGGTTTCCTTCCATCCCAAACATATAATAAGAACACGCTTAGATAAATCATCTAAGACCGAGGGGAAAAAAAGAGATTTAGTCTAAGGCAAAGGAAAATATTTTTTACCTTAAGAACAATAAGGTGTGGCATACTCTGTCAGAAAAAGTGGTTGTATATCAGTTTGTACAGACGTTTAAACAGCAACTAGATGCATACTTGCAAAAACATAATATTCTCTTGTATAATTTTTCAACTGTAGGGTAATTATGGAGAAGACATCTGGTCCATGGGCTTTGGTATTTTTTAGTCATTTGTATCTTATTTTGTATCTAATTAACAAAAAGAGTTTGTTCAAAAATTCCAATTTCTTTGAATTCGTTTTAGGTAGATTGCACAGTTTAAGAATTGTTTTGATTATATTATCTTGAACATCCTTTTTGAAAATTTTTTTTTACATTGTACTAATTCAACTATTAAAATAAGTTTTTCATTTCTATTATAGTTCAAATACCCGTTTTGTTTTAATGGCATTGTAGTTCTCTCTATTTTCTCTTGGAGTTTCATTTAATTCAATTTTGAATTTGAAAAATTGCATTAGAAGTGTTTCCATTTTGAGTAACTTTGTTTATTTTCTATTGTTCCGCCAGAGAAATGTAAAGATTATTTTCGTCTCTTTTTTAAAAGAGATCCCAATTTAATTATTTAAACCTCATATATACCACTTAAAAGAGCACCATATCAAAGAAAATTTAGTCTCTCTATTGTCATTAAGTTCAATAAATTCTTTAGGTTGTTTTATTAATTCTTCTGTATTAGAACTGGGCAAGCACAACAAATCGTTTAGTCGCCATTTTGTTTGGGCAGAATACTCTCTGCTATTTTTAACCTTGAGAAAAATAGATGCATGGTGGGACCATGTTATTGATCTGATCTTTGAGGAAATAAATATATTTAACAAATGTAACTTGGTAATAAATCAATCAATCCTTGAGTATGATCAATGAACTTTTTTCGAAAGCAAAAGTATAGTCCCTATCTCATGGATTTAAAAAAAATAAAAAAATTTATGAGCATCTATGAATGCACCACTATTAAAACTCTTGTCCAATTTTTTTTTTTTTGTAGTGCTGAAGAGCATACAATCACCTGCTTTGCCATGACAACAAAAGCAGGCACATTAGATAATACAATTATACAGGTAATATGAAAATCGAAATGGTGTGCAGAGATAAGTTATAAACAATTGTGATGGAACAGCACACATTTTTTAGCAGAGTGAGAGAGCATGCTAGTGAATATTACAAAACAGTACGGTAGTTAGTCAAGATTAGGCTTGCGTACTCTGTGAGTTGTCGCTATCATACACATGTGTGAATGGGACACTAAAATAAGCAGATATCACAAAATATGAAAGAGAACATGCAGAGAACTAGCAGTGGATTAGATATTTTGCTGTGCGGGGAGTGTAAGTGTACAGGAGCAGTCTCAAGCCTGAGGAGGTAAGTAGTGTTGTCTGAACAGGTCTGCAGAGCCAGAGGTAAGTAAGGCATAGTGTCCACACAGTTTGGCAGTACTTAATGGAGAACACTGGGCAGTTATCCTATAACCAAGCTGGGTAGGCTCCTTACACTTTTGAGCAGTCCA